GTGGCGCCCCCAAAAGGCTGGCTAGGACCTCTGCTGTCCCCACCTCCTGCTCTCTGCCCACCTTTCTTTCTACAGCCCCCCCAGGTTCATGCCCAGGATGCCCCCATAAGCCTCCTGCCTGCAGACCAGGTGCTGCTTCCCAGGAAGCGTGACCTGGGAAGGGCGGGAATAGGGGCAGCTACGGTTCGGCGAGCACTTCCTGTGTTCCCGGTGCTGTTCCGGGTGCTTTACATTGAATCCCCGTTGTACCAGGGGAGGTAGGCACTGTCGTTATGCCCTCTTTTAACGAAGCTTAAAAATAAGCAGAGCCAAATGTGTTTTGTGTTAAATATAACTTAAAAATACGACACACACATACACATGCATGTATACACATTTCCACGCATACAGCATACTCATATGTAGAGCGTACACCACATGTCGTCATCATCGGGAGACAGAGGCCTGCTCTGAGCTCACGATAGGCCAAGGCCACACGTGATGTCAGAAGCAGCCCCTTAATGGCCCCGGACCTTGACTTCACGCAGAAGAACCTCAGGTGGCCACTGCAGTAAATTCGCTTACCTTCCTGCTTTTCTTTTAACCGGTGAGAACCTCACCACATCTGAGACAGCTGGAATGTATCGTTCCACTTCCTTAGATTCGGGAATTAAAGCTAATAAAAAAGAATTTCTGTACCTGTTGAATTGGTTCAACAGCAATTGTGGTGGGGCTTGGCGGGCCCCCATAAGGCGGCCCAGGCCCCCGTGGTGCAAGGGAACCAGGCTGTGCGTCTCCGGGGGCAGAGGCTGGGGACCCAGCGGAGGCGGTTACCACCTCGGTTGTTCGGGGACTCTGCTTCCTCGGGGTAGGCTGCGTTGATGGAACTGTGGGTTTGCTGCGCGGGAATCGTCGGGGAAGGCAAACAGCAGGAATGATTGCAGCTGCAGGGGGTGTTGAGTCTGTTCTGTGTTGATGGAGGGGTAAGGTCTACGGGAACGTGAGCAAGTCGGGTAGCAACGTGACGACTCTCAGGCCAGTCGCCCGGCCTTCTGACCTCCAGCAGCGTCCTCCAGCCCACCTTACCACGCGGTCTCTCCCGCCAGGGGCGACGCGCCCCCAAGCCGAGCACACCCGTGAGTCATTTCTTCGTCTGTGCAGCAGGCAGCCATGGGACTGGAAAGGGGGCTGTGAAAACCGACTCCGTCCTGGCTGTCGGTGGAGACCCCCACACCGAGGGATGGGGTGGAGACCCCATCCACTGAGGTGGATGATGTAGAGAGAAACTGTGCTTTGAGAACAGCCAGACTTGGGTCCAGAGTCCACTTCCCCCAGCCGTGTGACCTGGGCAGCAGGGCTCCTTCTGTCTCAGAAACCCCTGAACCGTCTTGAGAACTGGCAGTGAACGGCCTGCCTGGAGACGCTGCGAGGATTTCACGGGAAAGCCCCCACAGCAGGGCCCGAGTCTCCCCTCCTCTCAGCTCCACCTGGACCTCCACCTGGGAGAGACCTTCCCAAGCAAAGAACCCAGGGTCGGAACTCTGGGTCCATGCTGCCACTCACCGTGGGCTGTATTTGAGCAAGACATTTCCCTCCACTCCTCAGGATGCTCTGGGGCAGTCCTCACCCCAGCTCGAATTCCTCTCGTGTGTCCTAATGTCTCGCATGCCCCTTTCATCGGCCCACCGTGACCCTCCTACCGCAGCACTGGTCCCCTGCGTGTCACTCACTGCCCTGGGTCACGGCAGCCTTGCTCGAGGTGGTAAACGTTCCTGACTTCAGTTCTTGTCTCCGTATCTGGGACAAAAACCTCCCCGAGGAAAAGACTGTGTCTTATGCTTCTTGGCCTCTTTCCGTTTGTGCCAGGAGCGGACTAGGGGGTTAATGACACCTTGTCGAAGTGACATTATGTGCACAGAAGCACAGACCTGTGAGCTTTGGGTTTAGAACAAGCTGGGGTGCATTCGGGGAAGGGCTGAGTCCCCCTCCCACCTCCTGCCCCCGACAGCCCAGTTGCCCCCCCCATCTGCCCTCCCCCACTGCAGAGGCCTGCGGAGGGGCTGGAGCCTGTCTTCACACTGCGTTTCCGTGGAGGACGGTCCTCCCACTCAAGCTGTGCCCTTTTGTGGCGACAGATTTTAGTTCCTTCCTCCTGGAAGCCTGTGGGTGGGACCAATCTGCATGACATTGACATTGTACTGTCCTCACAAGGGAGGGGCAAGTGTGACTCAGAGCGTGTGTGATTTCCAAGAACATTTTTCGGAGGAGTAATGGCGAATGAGCTCACTTTTGAGCCTGCCAAGGGAAGAGGCCCAGAGCCAGCCTGCCGGGTCCACCTCACGGGGCGGGCGGGGGCGGAGAGCGGACTCCACCGCGGTCCGTGGATGGCCGCCCGGCGGCCGCAGAGGCGGAAACCGCCTCCCTCCGCACAGCTGGCCTCACTGCTTCGCTCAGCCCGTCACCAGCTGGTCCCACAAGGGAGCGCTTAGTGGGAACAACGAGGGAACACAGAGGCCGTGAATTCTGGATTCATGAAGTCACCGTCTGTGTTAGGGTTTCACTGGGCGTTCTACTTCTGTTTATTCATGGAGTGTTTGTCGTGCAGGGGAAAAGATAGTGAGCAGAAGCCACTGCCGTGCACCCCCACACCCCGGAGTGCCTGTGCTATTAAAAGACCTCAAAACAGCGTCCAAGTGCAGCCAGGGTCACGTGTATTTTACCAACCTGAGCCCCTCGGTCCCCAGGTCTCGCCAGGGCTTAGCTAAGGGGCCCCGTCCCATGCCCACCAAGCGCCCAGTCCCGGGCTGGCCAGTCGAATGTCTATTTCATCGCAGCCCAGAGGCTGCAGAAACGCCAACACTGGCCGTCAAGTACCTAGTGTGGTGACATACACTTTCTGAGCGTGTAAGTGGCAGTTGTGACCGGATGGGTGTGTTTCGCAGCTCACCCGTCATTAGCGAGTAGCTCCTAAGGGGACGGTGCTGAAGAACAAGACCAGCGGCATTAGCCCCGTCAGGACCGCAGCCCCTTGGGGACGCCTTGCCTCTAGGGAGCACTTTGTAATTTTCAAAGTGCGGTGACACACGTTTTCAATTATTCATCGTTTAGGGTTTTGATAGGTCTTCCCAGTATAAACTGGAAACCAGCGAGAAATCCGGATTAGTTAACACGTGTCTTGGGTGCCCACTCACACCTTGCTGGACAGTAGAAGTCTACCGGCGAACGAGAGAGACGGACCCCTGCCCTGGGCAGAGGGGGAGTGAGCGCACGGACACGGGGCCCCTGGGGGGACGTGGGAAGGACCCGGCCGGGCAGAGGGGCTCTGAGGGGGCTGCCAGCTCAGCCCGAAGGACAAGTAGGGTCTGGGCGGGTGGACGAGGGAGTTCGTGTCTCCACGGCCCTGTGACCGAGTGACTGTCTGGGAGAGGCGGGGAGAGGACATGCAATGCACCTGTTACATCCCAATGCACCGGGTGGCCGGTGACATGAAAGACTCTGGTCACGGCATCTCCTCCTCCGCAGGAAGCCACCACACGCTCGCCTTTCCACCGGAACCTGGTCTCAGGGCAGAACTGCTCGCTCGGCGGCCGGTGACCTTGTGCCTGAGATTTAAATTACTTTTCTGTGTAGATCGCTAACACCACCAACGGTGATGGTTTTGAAAAGGTGGGGGTGGGAGGGGAGCAAAGATGAAGACGTAATGAACAGGAATGCTAGAACCCAGACGCCATCCTGATGAGCGTTTCGGAGTGTTTCTCTTGGCGGTTTCCACTGGGACAGAGGCCGGTTCTCGTGGAAGACCGGACCCGCCTGGGTGCGCAGGGCTGCCTGGTCGACCAGGAAGCCGAGTCGCCCGATGAGCGTCCCCGCACTCAGTAAGTTCAGCGGAATCTGAGAAATAGGTTTCAGCATTAACGGGACTGTTGGTAGGTTTCCAGCTCTCGGGAGAAAATGTATGTTCCATTCCAGGAGAAGTTGCAGGTCCCATGAAAATCCGAGCCCCGTGTGAGGGTATTAGTAGTCGTCGTCTTTAGAAGGACTTTTGAGGCGGGTGCGTTTTCCTGCCCTTGCTTTACAAGGGACTCGATTGCGAGCTAATGGTAGGTCCTGGCACTGTTTTTAGGGGGGTTTCCTCACCCCGGGGACTCTGCATCCCAGAGTGGCGACCTCCTCTGCAGGCTTGGGTCCTGCTTCCGTGAAATTCAATCACAGAGTGCCTTCATTTCACAGAGCTAAACGGAAGTGGCCAAAGTAAAATTGACCGAGGCGTGTAAGGACTGTGGGTGACTGTGTGGCCTCAGGTGTGTGAGCACTTGTTTGGTCACAGACTGCCTTGTCCCCATGGATAGGGGACAGGAATCTGGGAGAGTGAGAAGGGACCAGCGGGAGACGGGGCAGCTCTCGGTCTGCATGGCAAGCAAGAAAAAACTGTGCAAGCAGGAAACACCTGGATTTAAGATTTTTTTTTTGAGTTAATGAATTCACTAATAGTTTTGTGAGAATACATTCTTCCAAGGGAACTAACAGTTGACTTTCGTGTCTGGGTCAAAGCCATTGGTCCCAAAGACCGGGTGTGTGGCTGAAGAGCCAGGTTGGAGAGAGGACATCTGGGCCTGGTATTGGGGTGCAGGGTGAGGGGTGAGGGAGTCCTACTGTCCTTCAGGGTCAAGTGGAAACTTGGCCTCCTCAGCACCTGTGTCTTCAGGGTCCACCTAGTCGTGGGTCCCTGTGACACTGTGGACCCTGTGAGGCGGGCTGAAGGGCACTGAGGACCAATCAGGCTCCGTACAAGGGCGGGGAAGTGCAGGTCCACCCAGTGCCCAGTCACCAGCGAAGGCACGCAGCAGGTCTGCTGCACCGGTTGGGTTTCCCAGCCACCCTCTGTCACTGTCCCCGTTGTCTCCCCGGCGCCTGGCGCAGTGCTCCGCATGCACTGCTCCTCGGGGTGCCACTTTCTGAAAAGATGGAGGAGTGACTGGAAAGGGGAGGGGAGGGGTAGAGAGCAAAGAACTGCAACTGCGTTTGCAGCGTGGTGAATGTTCCTATTTTTATTCCTTTTATAATGGACAGAGTACACAGGCCTGGGGACAGACTCACTGAAGGGGGAGGAAGGTAGTGCCACCTCTGCCAAAGACCCCCCTGAACTACTCAGAGAAGCGGAGCAGACCCTCGGGGCAGCCTGTGCCATCCAAAAAATCAGGACCCTTCCCAGGTCTGACCACGCCTCCAGGTGCCAGCAACTCGAACCTGTTCCGATTCCCAATGCAACCCGCACACTCTCCTTCCTACTGGGGCACTCGCCTGAGTCCAGTTCTCTGGCCTCGTCTGACAGCCTCTTCCCCCAGGAAACTCTTCCAACCCTGTCCTTCAGTTCCACCCCCAAAGCCTCCCCCCACCTGCTTCTCAGTTCTCCTCCCAGGGTCCTCACCCCCAGAGCAGAGTCGAGCGCTGAACTTCCAGGATAGTTGTGCCCTGGGGGGGGGGGGATGCAGTGTGCCTCCCCCCGTGAGGACCCGGCTTCTAATCTGCAAAGCCACCTGCTCCGCCTGCCCTTCGAGCCACCCTTCCGCCCGGGGCAGCTCTGACCAGGCGCCCGGCCCGGCTGTGAGCGTGCATGCGGGAAAGCCGTGGTCAGGCCTGCACAACGGCTGGTGTGGACGGGTTGAAAGTGAGAATCGAGGTTCCGCGGTGGGTCTGATTACAGGTGTGATACTAGTCGGAAAGGCTTCGGAAGCGGAGAAGGGGCGGTGGCAGGGGCCTCTCAGGGTCCAGCTGACTGTTACCAGAGGTGGCCGCCCTGCCCCCGCCCCTCCCCTCCCCTGCCCGGATCTGGTGCTGCTGGGAGTCTAAACATTCGAGAATTCACAGTCGTAGTCGGTCATCCGGCACATTATGAACTTCCACTGGCGGTCCCTGTGGGGAGAGGCAGGCAGCAGGGTCAGGCAGAGAGGCACCGGGGGAGGAGGCGCCGCGGGGGACAGGGGTGAGCCAGCCTCGGAGAGGTGAGGGTCTCAAGGGACACCTTCCCCGTTTTGCTCTTGGAGGACGTGTCTGTGAGGGACGCCGTGTGAGGCCAGGAGTCTCGGGGTTCTCCTCACCTGTGGTTTTCAGTTGTCACCACTGTGGGGGAGGGGAGGCTGCTGGCACCATCCGCCGTGGTGGGTAGGGGTCAGAGGAGCTGCTGCACCCCTGGAATACCCGGGGCAGGCTCCTGCCGTGACGACTTACCATGCCAGGCTGAGCACCCCCTACCCCTGCACGTGGAGGGTGAGATCCCGCCCCCTGTACCCGCAGGGAGTGGGGGGCTGACGGTATTTCCCCCGGCGATGGCCTCGCTCCTCCCAGCAGGGCTGAGGGAACTCACGTGGTGGGTCGTTCGGGGGGCCAGCTGTTAGCGACAGCAGCCGAGGGGCCTGTGCGCGCGAGCGTTGAACAAACACGTGGCGAAGTATCTCAGCTTTCCCAGGTTCAGGGTTAACCCCTCACTGGCAACGCCCCCCCCGGTGGGGAGGGCACGTTTCACCTGCCAGACTACGTTTCTCCTGCCGTCATTTTAGACGGTGTCCTTCCTGGACTGTAATTTGCCTGTTTTCGTACGTACACAGGGAACACAGAGCCGGTGTTCTCGGTGACTCGGAGGTGTCACTGGAGTACCCGGCTCTGCTGCCGCCCTGGGTCGCCCTTCGGGGCCGCACGCTGTTCACGTCACCAGGCTTCCCGGGTCTCTGAGTTCCCAGGCCTTTCCTTTCTTTCTTTTTCTTAAATATGATGCGTGTGTGTGTGTGTGTGTGTGTGTGTGTGTGTGAGAGAGAGAGAGAGAGAGAGAGAGAGAGAGAGAGAGATTCGGCTACTTTTCCTCCCTGGGGAAGCCAGTTTCCATTCTAGGTGCTCTCTTCCCTGTTCATTTCTCGATTTGCTACTTCTAGACACTATGTAACTAAACTAGTGAAACATGTATCTAAACTAAAAATGACGAATGAGTGAGACGGAGGAGTTGTCCCGTGAGTAAACATAAAGGCGTTTGTCCAGGAGGCCTTTTTAGAGCTAATTAATGCTTGTTTTGGTTTGTATTTGTTATTTTCTTTTTTTTTCTTTTAAAATTGTGGGCTTTGTTAAATAAGTTCCTTTGGTTAGGTCAGATGTCATTTTATTTAAAATCATAAGTCTTTGCAGAAGAGAAGTCAGATTCAACCGCATCGTCGCTCACACTTTAATGAGTTAAGGTGCATTTTGTGCTGTTTGTGAAATGCGCGTGGGTAATGTTTCCGAAATTCATTTGCTGGGTGAAGTGGTTCTCACCTGACTAAGAGTAGGTCACCTCAACCTTTTAACACCTGAATTCCCCACACCTCTCTCTGTATTAGCAGGGAGGAGAATTCTTGTTCTCTTTCTGTTGTGTTGTTTCGACGTTATTTAAGGTAGGATCGGGCAGAATGGGAGTGAGGAGTGAGGGCTCTTTTCTAGCTGATTAACATTTACCTCCATCACTTGTAGACGTGGTGGGTAAGTCACTGTGCTTCCTCTCTCCAGCGTGCCCCCCCTGCCCCCCATCTCCCATCCGACCACCCAGCGTGGGGCCAGGGTGGCGTGAGGACGCCTTCCACTGTTTCTGCCCTCGCCTCCTGAATTTTGGCGAGAAAACGTGCTTTGTGAAGCGGAGTGCAGGGAAGAGCTTAGACCCTCATGGGCGAGGACCAAGTAGAGGACTTCCCGCGCTGGAGCAGGCTGGACTCGTCCTCACGTCCAAGGGCGAGCTGCTCCACGCGACGCGTCTGTGAGGATGTTGACTCCCGGTCGCCTCCCACCGCCCAGTCAGTGTCTCAGCTCATCCCAGACCACGAGGGAAGCCATGGCGGAGACCCCCTGATCTGAATTCCCGCAGACGTGGCCCCTCGAACCCCCAGACCCTTGGACCCCCAGCCTGGGGGGCCGCTCACCTCTCCACGGCGGAGAACGTGGTGGCCGCCCCTCGCATGTAGTAATCGTAGTTGTAGGAAATCATGTCCATGTCCTCGCCGTAGTGACCCGGGTACTCCGTCGTCATCCTGCGGGGGAGGGGCAGGGGTGAGAGGAGGGAGAAACCGCCATTGCCGGGGCGGTGGGGGGCTCTGAAGGATGTATTTTTATCGATTTGAGCGGGGGAGAGACACCAATGGATGGTGTGCGTCCCCCACCAGCTAAGGCGAGGAGGCTGTCCCTTCCCGACGCGCAGACCATTGATTGAGAAGTTTCTTAGCGGAGAGGTCAGTGCGCGATCGCCCCCTTCCGTGCTGCCCCCAGATAAGCCCCGGGGAGTGCGAAGGAGCCTGGTTAGACGCCCTTCCCAGGGGCCTGGCGCCCCCGCCGGTGCCGCGTCAGAACCTGTTTGAATAGTTTTTGCAGAGACGAGACAAATAAACCCCAAACGCAGTTCTGCGCAGAGGCAAGCACCCTCAGAGGGTCGGCCACCTTGGCTTCCCCCCAAGGAGCCTGGGAAATGCGCCAGGAGGGAGGGAGCGGCCAGCACCTTTGCAGCCCCCAAAGGGCCCTCCTCCGCGGAGAGGCCCCGCCCCCTGGGGGTGTGAGCAGGAAGGCCTGCGCCCCTGTCTTCCTCCTGCGGCATTTTGGAGATTTATATTGCAGGAGGCTCAGCTGTGTGTCACAGCCCGCCACGGGGGGCCTGTCCGGCCACGCTGGTCCCCGCCGGGGTCTCCGGGGAAGGGCCGTGCACACTCCCCACCTTGCTTTAGAATCTGGATGGCGGGGTGGGAGTTAAAGGTCAGCTTTGATGCCGGGCTTGGGGCGGAGAGAGGAGAACGTTCTGATGAACCAGTTCTGTCGTTTTGTTGGCTGGGGCTGTGGAGAGACTGGAAAATTCATTCTCGGGCTTCTGTCGCGAGCATTGGGAGACGGGAGCCAGGCCGGGGAGGACGCAAGTTCTGGGGTCACAGACTCTCGGGTGGAAGGAAAAACAGAAAGTCACCTGTGTCGATTCTGAGGAAGGACGTTTGGGGTCAAAACGTGTTATCTAATGAACTGAATGAAAGACCGCAGACCTGAGAGGAACTTAGAAAAGAGAATAGACACTCGGTGCAGAACGGTTGGTTCCTGGCACCCGTGGTCTCAGCCAGGACGACCTGGGCACGTGGGCGGGGCCGTCTGGAGACTGGGGGTCAGGGGGTGGGGGGGGCGCTTTACAGACAGTCTCCGAAGGGCTGTGGCTTCCTCAGCAGCATGTGTTTGTGGTTGGTCGATGGCAGACTGGACTAGGAACTCAAATTCTCCTATGTAAATAACACATCCGCACGGATGTGTGTGTCCCACCGGCATCCTGCACCTATGGGGAGTCGCTTTCTCTCTGGAGTCGAGTGATGCTGTAACTTCCAGATTGAAGTGAGAACAGCCCCTCGGGTCCCAGAGAACAAACAAAGTCCCCCATGTCTGGGAGCTGGCTGGGTGGCTGTTTTTCTCCTACACAGAGGGGCTAATTCTGAACCCCCAAACACTTCGCAGTGCGGACAGTGGATAATCGCTTAGCTAGTTCCCAACAGTGTCCGATCCCAGCTGTACCCCAGCGGGCCCTCCAAGTGGGAAGAGAAAACGTCCCCCCACATGCCCAGCTCCCGGGGAGGCGATGGGAGCTGGTGAACGGGGTGCGGCGGGAGGCTCCCTGCGGAAGGGCCGTCAGCGGCTGCGCCCTGGGACGTGCACGAAGGGCGTTCTCTCGCTCCGGAGGATCAGAGGAAACCGCGGCTGTGAAATGAGTCCTTGTCAAGTACAAAGCGTCATCGTAGCCGAGTCTGCTCTCACCACGGTGACTGTCCCTCGGCGCCCTCCACAGCCGGTTCCACGTTGCAGAGATTCAGAAAGGGGCCACGTTGTGCCAGGCCAGATGCTGAGATGCTGAAGAAATAAGACCTGACTTGTGCCCCAGAGGCTTCGTTCAAATCAGCGAGACGTAGAATGTGGTGACTCGGGCCGTTCGGAGGTGCCGGCCCCCCGACATGTGCAGACGCACCAGTGGGATGATGCCTCGTGTGCTGTGTTGGGGGTGCACCGCAGTCACCCCGAGTTTCCCTGGGAAAAAGTGCCGTTGTCGTTGGTGCCCATGGTAGCATTCCACCCTGACAGCACGCAACCAGAAATAGAGGCAGCCGAGCGAAGCCTTGCTTGGTGGGATGCGCTTCTGAGTAACGGCTTTGCCGTGGCTTTCCAGTGATTCTCTCCTCCTGCTGCCCCCATCCTCGACCATCGTGACACGTCCGGGTCAAGGGTTAGAGTGAGGAAGGACGAGTGGCGGGAGGAGGGTGGGCGCACCGTCTCCGACCAAAGCTAGGGGTCAGTCTTGTCACCGGAGACCCAACTGGACCCCCACCCTGGCTTGTCCCTTCGGAGCCCAACTGAGGGGCAAGTCTTCCTGACTTGGTAGTGGAGCAGCTCACTGAGTGCTGGTTTGTTTCTTACTCTTTGAGATGATGACTTACTTACATTCTAACTGGCTTTTAATGTCTGGTAACACAGGGAGGCAAATTTCACTGTGGGAGTATCAGCCTGTTAGCCCCTGGGGAAGGGAAGATTCCAGGGGCCCTGAGGTCACAGGCTCCTCCTGCCTGCTGTCTCCTCCCATGGGGGCCCATCTCCCAAACCTTGGCCTTGTCTCTGAAAGCCATCCCGGGCATCTGGACCTTGCAAAAGGGCTCAGGGCAGCCTCAAAGCTCTCCCCATCCCGAGAGTTTCAGCTCTCCACCCAGTGCGCCCTGGCGTTTTCTGGAAACGGGTGTGAACGCACTCAGGTGCATTTTATTCTTCCTGAAGACGAGGTCTGTAGCTTTCATCAGATTCTGACAACCGGGAAAGGTGGTCGTCATTTTAGGTGAGGGACTTGAGACTCCTTAGAGAGTAAGGTGACTTTCTGGAGGTGACCCAGGTACAGTGGGAAGAGGAAGAGGGAGGGGGCAGGAGAGGAGGGTCAAGGCAGAGACTTGGGCTCAAGTTTCTTGTTGAGAAACCTCCGCTGTGCCCCTTCCCACTGTTCCCCCAGTGGGAGGTCCCTGGGTCTTTGATTCAGGGTCCTGGCCGACACCCTGGCCATGCTGCTCCGTGGCCCCGTGGGTAGGACTGTTTCGTGGAAGCAGTTTGGAGAGCTGGGGGAGGTGCCTGTTCCATCACCCAGCCGCCGACGTCAGCTGCCTTTCGGCTCGGAATTTACCAGAAAAGTGCTAAGCTTTTGGAGCCGCCTGTCCCCAGAGCCGCGTGCCCCCCTTGGGCATCCTGGAGCACGGCTGCCTGGTCCCAGGGGCTACGCACAACCCACGAGGCTGCCCTTCCCAGCATCACCCCGTAGAGATAAATCACTTAAGTGAGCCGGCCTTCAAACGCCCACACTTTCGAATTCCCTTGTCCAGGGCAGAGATGCCTGGCTCGTTTGCAGGCTGAAGGCCGGTGTTGGGGGGAGGTGAGGGGGACAAGTTGTGTTGTCAACACCCAGGGTCAGTTATCAGGGAAAATAAATATACACCCCTTCTCCCAGTCAGTGTGATGGCTGGTGGGGGACATTTGGCATCTGCCCGGGGAGTGAGGAAGGAACAGAAATTCACGGACTGGGACTCTCGATTGCTCTAGAGAACACCAGCCTCTCTGATGTGTGTCCGCAAGTGCCTGCTTCGTTAGCCATCGGGGCCTGGGACGGGGTTGGTTTCTTCCCAGAAGGTCTGCAGGACAAGGTGGTTCTCAATCAGGTCCAGCAGCCTCAGGCTCGAGAAGAAGTGAGCGTGATAGAGGGAAGGGACTGGAGCTCTCTGGTCCCTGGAATAGCTGGGTGGCTTTGGGCGAGTCACTTTCTTGCTCTGTTGTTCTGTTGGTTTGTTTTTCTGCCAAAGTGTAGGAGCGTTGGGTGGATGGACTGTGAGTCCCTCCCAGTGTGTGAACATTATTCTAGCCTTTCCATTGGTCAGTCGGTCGGTCAGTTGGTTGGCTTTTTGATTTGATTGGTTGGTTGATTCATTCATTCTGTGTGCTAGCTGCTGCATTTCCAGCGTGTTTCTGACAATCCCAGGCGTAGCTGAAGGCAGAAACATAGACCCGAGCACTGCCCCTCCCTCCAAGCTCCCCTCCTGCCCCCCCCCCCCCGGCAGTTGAGAGGGGCCCAGTGGGGCTGCAGGCTCACCAGCAGGAATAGGGGCACCTCTTGCTGTAGCGACAGCAGTAGAACTGCCACTCCCGGTCCAGCACCGACTCGAAGTAGCGGCTCTGGAACCCGGCCACCAGCCCATTGTTGGAGCACGTCTGGTACCTGAAGAGAAGAAGACGACCCTGAGTGAACTTGTGATGGGGACACACTGACGACAGGCCCCTTCCCGGCTCCCCGGCTCCCCCCAAGACTGAGCCAGGCCACTCTCTCACTGACCTCGACTCCTGACGGTTTATTCCATGGTTATGCAAATGATAAAGACTTTGTTGTATCTGTGGGAATCACATACGCTCACCACTCACGTTCAAAGGGTTCAGAATCTTTCAATGGAAGGAAATTGGGGGCACACTGCTCCTGATGGGCCTCAAAGAACACATTGTTAGATGGGAGAGTGCAGAAGTGGACGGGTACAGGGGCATCTAGAATCTTACAAACGCAAGATTGTATTGCTCTTCATGCCATTTAAAAGAGAAGATAATATATTTCATTTTACTTGAATTTAAAATAAAAGAAGACAAGGAGAGATGCCACGAACGGATGAACTTTGCATGAACCTGACCTCTGTTAGGAGTAGAGCCCGGGGCGCTGACCACAAGGCTGGACCCCGCACGGCAGGCAGAGCCCGGCACACACAGCGGTTTGTCCAGCGTGACCCTGTGGGGGAGCTGGGAGCACAGCCCAGGTTTTCCCGGCTTATCTAGGTGTCTTCCTGCCGTTGGCCGGCCTGCGGGCTCTACGTGGCCAGGAGGAGTGTTGTCGGAATTCTATCCCCACCCCCACCCCCATGCCCGCCTTGGGCCCTGGTGCGTGGAGGCATTCCTGCAGAGTGGGCCCAGGCCAACCCAGCTCCTCGGCCACCCTCTTGGGTCCCTTTCCTGCCCTAGCTGCCCAGGTCTGATCCTTCAGAGAAGGTCATGCCCTCCTCTCTGGTCCACACACCGGGGTCCCTGCGGTCCCATGAATTGTCACTTTTTTTGCTTAAACTGAGCGGGTGCCGGCTTAGGAATCGGCCCTGTTTATCTTCACAGAGCCTTCCTTAGCGTTGGCTCCAAACTGCATAATCCTTTCTCCCTCCGTTCAATCTTCTAGACCACTGTCTCCTGCTCCAGTCCCAAGTCCCAGGGGGGTTCGGGGCTTGCGGCCTTTTCTGTGACGAGGGCCGTCCTGTTCTCCAGTGGCCACAGTGGGCCCCACAGAGTGATATCTCACAGCCCTCGCAGAATGGGTCTTGAGCGGCCCCTGGTTCTTCGCATTCCCTGCCCGCCTGGGGATGGATCTCGGTCCCTCTGAGCGTGAGCAGAGCACGCAGCTGCCTGGGCGAAGCGGCCCGACTGCTGCCGGAACACAGCCCGGTCTTCCAGGTAAAGATGAATTTCCAGGAAACGTCTCAGATAAAGTAAGAAGCACCCGGTGCAGCTGCCGGGTGGGCGGGGCCTTGCCGGGTGGGCGGGGCCTTGCTGACCCGCGAACTGTAGAGCCATTGGCGACTGGGTTTCATTTTCAGTTCCTGGAACCGAGCGCTTGGATACGAGGACACTGGCGTTAAATACATTTCATGTGTCCGGCCAGAGAGCCTGTGTCCTTTTCACTCACTTATTGTCCACGTATCCATTCGCGCACATACACATTCAGGTGTACAGTGCATTCAATGTTCTAATTCACCCCTCCCTCCACACACTCGCTCTCGGCTACTCTTCCGTCTCCGTCGCCACGTTTCTGCGTGGAGAGGAGCTGAGGGGTGGGCTCCATCCTCGGTCAGCCGTGCGCGAGCCCGAACGCCCTGTGCACAGGCCTCGCATGAAGTCCCAACAGCCGAGGGAGACCGATGGTGCAGACCAGGGTGGGGACCGAGACCTCTGCCCTCTGTCGCTCTGGCCTCCTCTGCTCTGCCACGGCTCACGGCCCATCGGGGGTCTCACCACCCGGCACACACTGCCCGATGGGAACAGACTCCTAGGGACTGGGGCCGTGGGGCGACTTTTAGCTGTCAGCATGAGGGGACGCCAGTGGAAAGCTCTGAGGGTCACGAACAAAGCCCGGGTGTGTGTGTGTGTGTGTGTGTGTGTGTGAGCGTGTAAAGAGATGCTCACCGTGGCCTCCCTCCTCTCGTCCCTGAGAGCCTGCATCGGCCCTTCCGGAAAGTTCCTGCCGTGGTTCCAGAGCCCTGTCCCGTTGTTTTGGTTTGTCCTGGGCACTCAGACGGCCCCGGGGAACAGCATTCCCATGAGGGTAGGTTCCCACAGGTAAAAATAAATCTCGAGATATGCTGGCCTCACGCCTGGGGCACCCGGACCGAAGGCCATCGAAGTTCCAGGAATTCCCCTCCGCTGTCAACCCAGCAGCTGCCCCCACTGTCTGGTGCAGAAAGTGTGTGTCACTCTCTCACACAGCACCCCAGATAAGGCCGCCCTCTGAAGATTATTTGGACACTCCACGCCCGGGCCTGAGAACAGATGGGGCGAGTCGGATCACCGAGCGGAACCGCCCTCCCCGGTTCCTGGCCCATCGCCCTCCCGGGTTGGCTGGGTGAGCCTGCCTGGGAGTCTGGGGGTGCACTCGGCTGACATGATAAAACCACCCCTTCCAGGGGGGGATCTTTGTGGGTGGGGTCTGTCTCCCTGCTCAGGTGGGGAGCAGAGCGCGGACTGTGCTGCTGGGTCACCTTGATTGCGGCAGGACCCATGTCCCCTAATGGCCTCAGTTTCTCATCTGTAAAATGGGTATGATAGCATGCAGTTATTGAAGTTCTTGTGAAGGCCAGATAAGGCAACAGTGCCTTTTAACACTTAATTCATTGTTCATTGTTATTGTCACCACACTTCCGCGTAGTCCGCACGGCGGTTGTGAGCCTGCCCTGCCGAGGCCGCCCTGGGCTCCGGGTCTGCCGTCCGTGGGAAGCTGTGCATCCCCGTGAACTTCCCGAGAGCAGTTCCCCACAGTAAAGCCCCGCGCTGGCTGTCTCAGGGGCCGACGCACAGCTGCCGTGGAAGTCACGCTCCCGGGTGACTCATCGCCCCAGGAGACAATGGAGTCCATGTTGGGGGGAAGATGATGTCATCTTCAGCTCGCAGTCCGCACGGTGCCTGACGCTTGGGTCTGGCCAGCGTGGAATGGGAGATGAGTCAGCGAGTGACTGATCAGGGTGCCTCATTTCAGGGGTGCAGGCCTGGGGACCTGGTTTGGTGGAGGTAGAGACCAAGGCGTACAGAGCGGCAGGACTTGCCCGAAGGCCGCGGTGGGGCTGCTGTTCGGGAGTCGCCGGGTTTGTCTCCCGAGTTCACCGTCTCTCTGTTGCTCCAGGATAACTCGAAGGAACACTGAGCACACGCACACACGCGGGGCGGGGCCCTGACTCTGCGGCCATCTCTCACTGACGGGGAGGCTGACGTCCGGCCAGACCCCAGGCGGAGCGAGCCCCTGTGGGAGGAGTGACCCTGCCATCCTCAGGAGCACGGCCAGGACCCGTTTTTGCAAGGCTCCCCCGTGTGATTTATTTGTTAATTTATTTCTTCAACAATTACCAGAGTTCTTTGTAGCAGACACTTGTCAGTTGCTTCCACAGCATTCCTGGTGATTGGTTTTAGCCTTGGAGTGCGGCGGACATCGGACTGTTTTTAACATTTTTATTGAATTTATTGGGATGACATGAATAAGTAGGTTTCTGTTGTGTGGTTCTGTAACACACATCTGTACCCTGTACGGTGTGGTCACCGCCCCAGTCAAGTCTCCTCCCATCACCATTCACCTCCCTTCACCCTCTCCCACCCCCCCACCCCCTTTCCCTCCGCTCGTCCCCACAGTGCTGTCTGCAAGGGCTCTTTCCTTTGTCTTTTGCTTAATCCCCTCACAGGCATTTGGCTTAGACTTGGATTTGTTTCTGAGTCTCCTGCCTTTCTCCTGTGAACATCACTGTAGTGCCCCGGACAGCTTCTGAAGGGGGAGTCACACCCTTCCCTTCCCTTCCCTTCCCTTCCCTTCCCTTCCCTTCCCTTCCCTTCCCTTCCCTTCCCTTCCCTTCCCTTCCCCCCCCCCCCCATGAGGACCCAAGTACCCAAGGCGACAGAGCTACAAGGTGACAGAAACAGGAGCTATGACACAAATTTCCTGATTCTGAGATCGGAGCTCCTGGCACCGCACAAGAGCTTGCCCTCTCTAGAAAATTCCAGCCTCACCTTGTTCCACACAGGAGCTAGGCGCCCCCAGCCTGTGCCCCCCCCTCCACCCCGGCCCCAGGGAGAGCAGATTCCCTGTCAGCACCAGCGCCACGCCCTGGGGTGGCACTGTGCTGCTCCTGGGACCCAGGCCCCCGGGCAGCTTTGGAGCTGAGCCAGCGCACAGGCTTCAGGACCCGGATTTCCACAGAGCTGCCGAGGCAGACGCCGAGTTCTGGCCCCCGCCGTGATTGAAACACCTTTAAGAGACTCTGCTCCACTGAGCAGGTGCCCGTGGCAGACCCCGTGTTCTGCTGTCAAATCTCGGAAAATGATCGGTCGGACTGTGTGATCCCAGAAGGCACCCCGCCTCCCGTGCTCTGTGCTCTGCTTGGCCCTGGAATTGCGCTGAGCTGCTTCTTGCAGAATTTCAAGACTCCTCCCCCCGCCTCTGAACAGAAACCTGCAGGCTAATTTGGTTTTACGAGGCGGCCAAATCTCACAAAACCATGCACTCTTCCTGCAGAACAGAATATGAGCCTGGACGGGAAGAGATAATTGTTTCCCAGCCAATGAGCAGTTTCTTTCCTCCCAGACTTTTCCCTGGGACTGGAGTCTAAACTCAAAGCAATAATTACCTTAAAAAAAACCACTCTGATATGGGCCCTGGGCAGCCGAGTCCCACTGTGAAGCAGCTCTTTTTCATGGTTGTGCATTTTGGACTCTGCAATTAGGGAAGGGGGAGGGTGCCGTCCAGGGACGAGGGGGAGGGGGACCCTTGCACTCTGCACACTTCAAGGTGTGGGCGAGGAGGAGGGGCGGAGAGGTCTTGCCTGCCAGCAGCTCCCTTGGCCAAATGAAATGATGCAATTCGTACTCCCTGGCTTGGCCGCTTTTCTTCGAGTTGTTTGGGAGCTAATAACAAACCAGTCACAAGTTGTCAGGTTTAAAAGGAAACATCCTGTGCCTTCTCTAAACAGAAAGAGGAACGAGAAGAGCAGCAGGGTGCAGGAGAAATCCAAGTGCACTTTGGGGCCAAGCAGAGCACAGAGCGTGGGAGGCGTGTCCCCCGAGACCGCGCCTGTCTGGCTGTTCATTTTCCAAGTGAGCCAGGAGCCGAGGGGGCTGAACCCCAGGTCCAAGGTCACATGAACCAGGATCCTAATACAGGGCTTCCGACTCAGAGCCCGGGGTTCTTTGGGGTTGAGGAACCATCTCTGAACACTCCTTGACTGTGGCTCAAAAAGGGCTATTGGAAAAGGGCCCCTCCCATAGAAGACCCCCCTAGATGGGGGACAGGAGGGGCAGTTTAACTAGGTCATCCCCGGGCTCCACGCCAGGCCGTGGGCCCCGCTTTGGGGAGTGGCTGGAGACCCTCCGCCCCTGAGGCCAGGCTGGTCTCTGACCAGACAGCCATCAGCAAGGGGTTGGATAATGAAGCCTGCTCACCAGGGCCAGTGGGAGTGGACGAAGCTGGCCCAGTAAAGGGCCCCCACTGCTGCCTGTGGGACCATCTCCCCACTCTCCCACAGGCTGGCCGAGCCCCCCCCCCAGTCATGGTACCCAAGCTGGTCCCTAGCCCTCCAGACTGAGGCTTGGGTGTGACCCTGCAGATCCCGACCCTCCCCAGGATGAGCACTGCCCTGAGCCCAGTCCTGTGGCTTTGAGTCCGGCTCTGTGGCGCTGACCCCGTCCTGCAGCCTGGGCTCTGCTGGTGGAGCCCACAGAGGGTGGAGGCAGTGGGCCCTCAGCAGCTGTGGTGGCACCCCGATGCTTTGGAGTTAAGACTCACTGGGCCCAGATCCTGGCCCCCCACTTCCCAGCTGGGGGACCCCTGGCTCTGCACCGCTGTCTGTCTGACCTGGCAGTGGCCCACACCTCTGAGCTGAGCATCAAGTGAGATAACCCACGCAGACCACTCGGTGTGGTGCCCGCTCAGGGTGAGCGCTCAATGAGCGGCCACTGCTTTCATGACACAGAGGTCCCCTCCCCTGCCTGGCCCCTCCACCCATCAGTGTCTTTCCCCTGGATGGCACATGACTGCTCTGTCTGCTGGCAGTGTGACCCCTAGAGTTCCATGCTTGACCACCCCCAAATCTATGACACCACATGAGTGCATCAGCGGGGCATCTGCCTCCCTGGATGGGGTTCGCCCTCACCCCCACCTGTCTCTGTCCAGGTGGTCCTGCCTCCGTCCAGGCTGCTGTGAACACCCAGCCTGATGGTCAGTTGCTACTGGGATGGGCTCCTGACCACTTTCAGGGCTGGACAGTTGCACCCCACAGGGGAGTGCAAGCTGGGGCCTCATCCACGGCATTGACTGTGGCCGAGCCCCGGCAGGTGAGACCAGTACACCTCCCTCGCAGCGTCTGGTTCTCTGTTTTCCAGGACGGGGAGGGGTGAGGGAGGGAAGGCGCCCCGTTTAGTAACGAGAGAGCACTTGGAACAACAGCAGGCAGCCATTTCATTCCACCTCTTCTTGCCTTATCTCCCCCCCCCCCAACTCACTGCTCCAGATCAGCATTTCTCCACCGTCTGTGCCAAGCTTTCTCTTTCCCCAAAGCCAATGCCTTTGTGGATCAGTAAAGATAAATTGCTCCAGAGCCACAGTGCCATTTGGATGCCACAACAGTGTTAAATTGCTACACGTCTCTGAGTATTTGCAGTCTCTGCGCTTACCCTTTGCGGGCCAGACCCACACTAGTCCCTGGAGCGCATGGGGGCTGGGCTGCTTCTGGAAGGTGCAGGGCTGCTTCTGGAAGGTGCAGGGCTGCGGAGGAGTGCACCTGCCTCGGACACCCCCGTCCTGGGGTTTGGTGCTGACACCGTAGCTGGCTTGCCCCACCCAGAGCCCCGGCGGTCTGGTTCCCAGTAGGACTGGCCCAGGCGTTCGTGGGTGCTGTTCCCTGAGGGTCAGGCAGCCCCAAGGGGGAGGTGACTGTCCCAGGCCAAGTGCGGCGGCGTCCCCTTACCCGAGCGCGGTGGCGTCCCCAGTGTCCCTTACCACTGCATGCCAGCTCTGTTGATCTCCTCCCACCAGCACTCGGTGGGCTGCCCCAGCCTCTGGGGCGTGGGCATGCATGCGTAGTTCCACTGGCGGTCCGAGCCTTCCTTCTTGCTGAAGATGCTCCTCACAGCCACCACCACCTGCCCCTGCGGGCACTGGAAGCTGAAGCCCTGCCGGTTCAGGTTCACCCACCCGTCGTCGCTGTAGTCGTGGTACTGTTGGTACGGGTGGCCGTAGTCGCCGTACTGGCCCCAGGCCAGGGCGACCAGCGGCAGAAACACCCACACAGGAGCGAGGGCCATGCTGCCTGGGCTTCTGGCGAGAAGTGTCGCCCGAGGCCTGCTGGCCGGGCCGTTTTATACGGCGGCCGCCGACATGTGGCTTCCAGATGTGGGTGCGCAGGCTCCAGCTGCAGCGTGTCGTGCTGTAAGCAAAACCGCTCTGCGCGAGACCCCGGCTGAGAGTGCATCCAGCTCGTTTTAAGGTGGAATTCTAGGAAAACGCCAGGGACCCACAGATGCAGGAGACCCCTTGGAGGGAGAACAGCTTTGCAGGTAGATCGTAAAACTGAGAGGCTTCACGCTGCTTAGAAACACTCTCCCAAAAGAGGAGCCTTTTTGTCCCCCTTCTCTCGGGACCTTGCCTGGCTCCGCCCCACCCCGCCCGCCTCCAGCAAACCCCGGTATCTGTTCTTCGAACTAACCTTCCGGGACCACACAAATGTCCAGAGCACTTTCAAACACCACGATGACAGGAGGAAGGCACGGAGCGGTGGAGATTCGGGCGAGGCTGGAAGCCGGGTCTCTTTGAAGTTCCCAGCCCAGCATCTCTAACCCCGGCGCCAGCGTGGCGTCCTGGTGCGCAGGTGCAGCTCCGCTCACTCCCAGGCCTCGGATGGGGGGCCTGGGGGCCCTCCAGGGGCCCGCCGAGCAGCACCTCCCAGCACGGCCTCCTCCTGAGCTGCTGAAGCCGGACCCAGCTGCCCTCGGAACTGCGCCCTGCTCCCACACACACAGTGACTTTCACCTGAATGAAGCTGCTTTTTACCCTTCGCCTTTGTTTTCCCCTTCACGTTGAGCTTTTTTATTTTTTATTACCGAGGTAGGCTTTACAGGGAATAAAGCCCATCTCTTTAAATGTTTGGCATACAGCCATTGGACCAGCACCAGGGTTAAAACAAAGAACAGTCCCCCGAACCTCCTCATGCCTCTGGGTGGTCCCGTTGTCCCCCACGCCTGGGCCCCGGTAACTCCTCAGCTACTTCCTGTCGCTACACTTTGGTCCTTTCCAGAACGTCGAAGAAATGGCTCCGCACACAACGTAGTCTTCTGTGTCCGACCCCTCTCACACGGAATTGTGCTTTCGAGCCTCACCCTCGACGCTGTGGTCGGTTCTCTGTTCCTGGTCTGCGTTGCGCGTATCGTGTGGAGTGGTATAGCTGTAATACAGGCGTCGATACCTTTACCAGCCGGGAGACATTTGGGTTTTTATCAGCTGCTGGACATTCTACAATAGATGAGCCTTCTAAAAATATCCATGGTGTGCTTTTTTCCAGTACTTAAATGTCATATGTTTTTTTCGGTTTTATTGAGAAATGTTTGACATCCATTAGGTGGAAGTTCCAGGTGTACAGAGTCCTTCAGGGTGAGGCGACGGGCCACCGTGAGTTGTGTGTGGGAACAGTCCTCCTCGGCCCTGCTGGCGCCCAGCAATGCCCTGGGGGCTCTTGCAAAGCTCCAGCGGCTGAGCCTCAACCCAGGGCCATCAGACAGGAAGCTTCTGAGCAGGGCCCAGACAAGGGCACCCTCAGCGCCAGCCTGCAGGGCTCTCCCAGGCAGCCGGGGTGGAGAGCCACTCCTCCGGAGGTTGTAAAAGTCATCCCCCTGAGGCTCACGAGGGACATTCTGCAGCCTGGCCAGGACTCGTGAGTCACCCTAACCCTTGAGGAGCTCCGAGGGACCATGCGCATCATCCTAATCACGCTCCTCCTCGCACCTTCATTTCCCAGCAGTTCCCAGGCCTGTGATCTGCTCCCTGTTCTCTGCAGACCTTTTGTGTTACGACTGCACGCTCCCGTGGCGGGGCGCCCCGAAATGTGCAGAAGTCCGCATCTTTGTCGTTTAAGCCAGTTTGGGGGTGGGCTCCTGTGACTTAGGGCTGAGAGCGTGCTCGGTCATGCACTGTTTCAGGGGTTTCAGAAACCTGAGGCTGCAGCAGGGAGCTGAGGCCTCACGGAGCCCAGCTGCCCGGAGCCGACACTGACGGCCTGAGTTTATGCAGCCACAAGTTACCGTGTGTTTTCTGCTAGGTCACCCCATTATCTTCCATCCCAGAGAGGCCTTCTTGGGGTGCACTGTCCACAGATGGGGGAATGGGGGTCAGGGACTTTGGGGGCTCAAGTTCTTACAGCCAGAAGGGTAAGAGCCCTGGTGTCCTGATTTGTGTTCTGTGACTCGTTGCGTCACGTCTTCGAAACCAAGACACTAACCACAAGCCCACGTTTAGGAAGGAGCGCCCTGTAAACTGTTTTTAAGGTGATGGGCACCACCCCACGCCACTGGTTTGCACGGTGGGTTTCTGCTGCTGTTCTCCAGCTCCGCATGGTAGACCCTGGGGTCTTTCGAGGACTGAGTAGAGGCTTGCTGAACAGGCAGGTTCTCGGGGCCCACCCCAACCTGCCGAATCCAGCTCTCTGAGGAGGGGCCCAGCCACCTGCGTTTTCACGAGCCCCCCAGGTGCTGTGATGCCCACCGAAGTGAGAACCACCATTTGGAAGGTACTCAGGAAACTCTTCGAAGCCCGGGAGTCACCTGGTGAGGAGTAGTGCAGCGCTAAGGCAGCCCATCTGGCCCAAGCCCCTGTCTTGTTACTCCGGAGCCCAGACAGGAATCACAGGGGGCGGGGCTCTCCCGCATCCCCGAGGGGAAGGACAGGAGCGGTTCTGGGGGGAGACTGCCGCTGAGCTTTCCAAGTCTGGATGAGTCTTCCTTTTTCTATTTTCTGTCTCCTCTTCCTCCTCCTCCTCCTCCTCCTCCTCCTCCTCCTCCTCCTCCTCCTCCTCCTCCTTTTAACAGCTTTATTGAGATGTACTTGACATACAGCACAGTTCACTGCTTCAGGGGTGTGACTCGGTGGCTTTTAGTGCCCTCAGAGTTGTACCACCGTCACCTCAGTCCATTACAGGGCGTTTTTATCGCTCAGCAAGAAACCCCGCACCCACGAGCCATGCCTCTCCATTTCTCCCTGGGCCCTCCCACCCGGGGACCACCAATCCATTTTCCGTCTCTGCGGATGCGTCTAATTCAGTCACGTCCATGGAATCGTTCAGCCTGTCGTCTCTGGGGCCGGTCCTATGCTCAGAACGGTGTTTCCCAGGCGCATCCAGGTCGTAGTGTGTGGCTGCGCTTCCTTTTTACCAGCAGGCAGTGTCACGCTGTGTGGCCCCACTGCCACCACCGTCCCTTCACAGGCTGGTGGCCATCTGCCTCCTGGGTGCAGCCCAGATCTGGCTGCAGCTGTCTGTACCAGCCGCTTCATGGGAGGGTCTGCCAAACCGTCCACGTTCTCTCCCCAGAAGGCAAGTTTCCCAGCTCTGTGGTTCAGCTGAGGAAGGTCGGGAATAGCCCTGCATTCCCGGCCATCCTCCTCTTCCTCGGGCTGGCCACTCCTCGCTGCTGAACTCTTCCTTCACTTTTTCTTCCCTTTATCCCCTTCTGCCCTGCACCCCCTCCCTCCAGCATCCCTCCCCTCCCCTTAGTTCACGTCCACGGGTTGTGCCTGTAAGTTCTTTGGCGTCTCCATTTCCTCTACCATTCTTACCCTCCCCTGTGTATTCTGTACTCACCATTTATGCTCTTTATTCTCCGGACCCCATTCTCCCCTTCCCTCTACCCGTGGATGCCCCTCTGTACGGTCTCCACTTCTGGGATTCTGTTCCCGTCCTGTTTGCTTAGTTCGTTTTTGTTTTTTAAGTTCAGCTGTTGATAGTTGTGAGTCGGACCCAACTTTAGGGGAGGCGGTCCTGGGCCGCGCCACCGGGGCGGTGCTGCAGAGCGAAGCTGGGCCAGCGCGGGGCGGTCGTGCCCGACACCCCCTCCTGCTCTGGGGTCTGGGAGGCCGAACGGAGCCCGGGGGCGGGGGAGGCGCAGGCTGCGGGACACGGTGCTCTCGTGGCACCTCACGTGCTTGTAAGTGAAGAGCAGAAATCAGAACGCACGTCGTGGTCAGGAGCTGATGACCAGCTAGGGAACGCTCTGAAGGGATGTCCCATTGGGAAGATCTGGGTACAGAGGAGGCAGGAAGAGAACCATTCAGTCAGAAAGCACCGTGTGACGTCATTCCCGGCCAGGATCCCGAATTAAAATAGGCTTTACGAGGGCTTGTTGCCTCTGCGTAGGGAACCCACACACTCTAGCAGGTGGCAGGTAGCAGGTCCCCAGTGAGTGGCCGTCCCCCACTTGCAGGGCTCTCTCTATCTAACACGGTTTCGGGTCCTTTCTGCATTGACACAGGTGTGAAGCCGGCGTCAGTGCCCCGCTTCACCGATGTGGGGGTGGAGCCTTTGGGAGACAGAATGTGGCCAAAGTTGCAGACATATTGGGGTCAGGGTCTGCTTGTGAACCCACGTCTCGCAGGTTCAAATCTTGGATGTGGATACACCCGCGTTGCTCTGGGCGTCCGTCCCAGGGAGGGGCCGGGTTTCCCAGGCTCTGGAGGGCTGGGCTTGGAGAGACTCAGCGAATGAGTGTGTCCTGTAGCGAAGCAAGGTGGCCAATCTGAGAGGGCACAGGAAGATCCAGTCCACACATGGGGCTGACCCCTGCCCTCTGACCGTCCTGAAGGCAGCAGGGGCTGGGTTTTAGCCGCAGTGGCCTCCCTGGCAGTGAGTTGCCCGTCCAGAGCTGCTGGCTCCTCGGACGTGCCCTAGGCGGAGGGCTTTGCACTACGATCCCGCTTCCCTGGTGCCACTGGGCTCCTGTTCCCAGGCCGCCCACACAGGCGGGCACAGAGCAGAACCGCGGGGCAGCAAAGGCTGCAGGGTGGCCTGCACGCGAATCGCTTCTATTTTCTGTCCCGGCTCGTCAAAGTGCCTCCGTATGACACCTCCCAGGGCGTCAGCTGGGACCGCTGCTGGGACCGCTTCCCCGACGCAGAGGCCCCGACGGGGCTGCAGCGTTTCTGCCTGTGCGCACACGCCCACAACGCGCCTGCCTCCCTCTCTGTCTGTCGTGGAGGGTAAGTGACGCCACACGGAGAGAGTGCCCGAGTGGAGCCTGGTGCTCAAAACACAGGACACAAATAAGCAAAATCCCCAAGAGGCGCCGTTTCCAAGGTGACGCTCT